GTGCATAGTAGGATAACATCCTAGCACGAAAGCAGTAATCTAGCCTAGCTCTAGAATGTAGAGACATAAAGCTTACATTGCGTACATTGAGAATGAAAAGCCATATATTGATTTTTTTTTGTTAAATATGAGCCATGAATGATTGAAACAGAGGAGACACGCTAGAGGAATTTCTAGAGAGTCAAAGTGGTGCATGACATCGTACCTCCATACTCATCTTCGCCTTACTCATCAGTTTATGCTGAGGCTGAACCTTCATAAGGCATCTACTCTCACACTGATTATACTCAGTGTCCTTTATCTTCTGGACTACATATTTTCTGTTTTCTTACTTTTCTTAGCCAGCAACTATTGAAAAGTTTTATTGTCAGTATTTCTTTCTTATCTTACTCTCGTCCTCTAAATAATCTTTGAAGTATGAAGACACACCATTTCCTTCCTTTTCGTGGATTTTATTTCTTGGTCTGAAACAAAGGAACAAGGGCAGGATACAAAACAAGAAAGCTTTTTTTTTTTTCCAGTGAGAGGCAGAAAGGGAGTTGATCAGGAAGGGGCAAGGTAGGGAGGAACTGGGAGGAGTGGAGAGAAGAAGGAAAACTTTAACCAGGATATCAAATATGAATAAAGACTCTAGTTTAAATTAAAGGAAAAAAAAGAGAAGGAAGATAAGCTGCATCTTCTTGAAGAGAGGCTGCAGGAGAGGCTTGCAGAGAGGCTGTCATGTGACTATCCTCCCACACCAATACCTATTTCCACAGTAGCACCGTTAGCTCACTTCCAGATTTCTTTCTTAATTGGTTTATTTTTATTAACCATTTGAGTTTTGAGGCAGGATTTCATACCATAGCTCAGCCTTTCCTGAAGTTCATGCTGTATTTCTGGCTGCCCTCATATTTATAGCAATTAATCTGCTTTGAGCTCCTGAGTACTGGGATTACAGATTACCTAGCATTGAACTATTATTTATGTCTTTAATAATTTAGCTGACATTCTATTTTCTCTCATAGACGTTTCCAATCATTTTTTTAAAAAAAACACATAATTTAATTTTAAGGCTTTGTCTCTTTGTGTGTTTGTATGTGAGTGTGTGTATATGTCACAAGTACATGCAGAGGCCAGAAGACAGAATTGGATACCCTGGTGCTGGGAGCAAAACTCCTCAAGAGCAGCAAGGATTCTTAATTATGGAACCATCCCTCTACCTCCAACATACACATTTTTGAAGTAAAAAACAAACTCATCAATGATATTTGTATTTGATGTTTATTCTAATGTTCAGCAGTGGACTTAGCACATCTTAATGACTCCTTAAATAATGAATTAAATCCATCGTCAAAATAATACAGGGAAATTGTATTATTGTATAAATATAAATGGTGTGCATTACATACTTAGAATTTTGCCTCTGGAGAATGTACATTTTGTCACTGTTCATTGTTTGATAACTGATGGATATGTTTGTTGAATACAAAACCTTGTTATCAGGGTAATTTTCCTATCAAGGAGAGGTTGTCACAGTCTCATTATTCAGATCACTGAACATTAAGTGTCTTAATTACCCATCTAGATTGGGAAAGTAATTGGCATATTAGATTTGTTATGTTAGGAAATGGCCTATAAATGAAATCTAAATCTTTCTAGAGGCTTCCTTGTGGCAGAGACTCGTATGAAAACACTTCTGTATGTTTTTGTATGTGTTTTCTATATGTGTCTAGGATTTCAGTATAATGATGTAATAATAAGTGGGAACTCTGTCTTCTGGAATATATGAAAGTCATTAGGGACAACCCCTCATTTTCTTCCTATTCTAAATGTTTGTAAGCACAATAAAAATGCCTCTACAGCCAACATAAAGCCATCTCATTAATTAGAAATTTTAAGATTAATTTTTAAGTCTAGAATATTAATCTCTTCTTCTCCTAGACTGACAAAACTTGTTGCACACAGGACAGAATACTTATTGGTCTGTCTTCCATTAAAATCATTAACTTATGAATGTGTCATTCTGAGGAGACTGTGAGCTCCTAGAAGGTAGACACAATGACTTATTCATCTGCATTTCTCCCGTGTCTGCCATATTATTATTTTGCACTAATAGATCGTGAGGAACAGTTATTGAATTGCATTTCACAGACTGGTTTGCAAGTGTAAGATTCTTAATAATTTACAAATCTAGATTATCTTAGTTGACATCCACACATATCTTACAGAACCTGAAAATAACCTTTCAAGTAACAACTCTTTCTTAAAATTCTGAAAACAAAATAGATGTCATAAATAAATAGATGCATATAAGGCTTATGATAGGTTCTTGCTAACTCTGTGCAGACTCTTTGAGATCTTATTTTCTTCAGACTACTACCATACAACATGTATACTTGTATTTCACATTGTCTTTCGCCATTAAACAAAAACAGTTTGGGCTAACCTTAGCCTTTGGGTCTAGCCTATCTGGTTACCAATCTCAATTTCAATACTAATGTCACTGAGTTTTAAAGGAAAGATGGATTTCAAAAAAAAAGTATCTAGATTGATGGTCTAGTATTGAAGAGAACTGGCTGCTCTTCCAGAATCGAGGGTTCAGGTCCCAGTACCTCCATGCCTGCTCACAATTAGGCAATTGTAGCTCCAGTACCATAAGATCTATGAGAACCAGTCATGCATGTGATATGTAGATATACATGCAGGAAAAATACACCACCACAAATGGCTTTTATGTGAATTCCAGAGATCTAAATTGGATCTGCATGCCTGCACAGACAGCATTCGACTCACTGTGCTACCCTGCCCGTCCTTTATTTAATGTGATTTAAAAACCATGCTGTATTCAAAGGAAAGATACTGTTGCCTGTTTGTATTGAATTAAAAGACAAATTGCAAAAATAGTAGTTCATTTTCTTTACATGGATTTCTTAACTGTTCCTACTGAATATCCATCAACAGAATAAAAGACTGTTCTCATGACAGAGGCTAATAGTGAATAGAAGTGTGAATATGAAGAAAAGCCACAGGACCGTGCACTAATATCCACACATATATTTGTATCCTTCAAATATAACTGATAGTTTCAGCATGATCAAATATAAAAACCTTATCTAATTGAAAACAAAAAAATGAAAGTAACAGGATTATAATCTTGCATGTCTGATAAATATAATTTATATGAAAAATATATTTTAAGTAATTTTTATATTAAATACATAGTCTTAAAAAGTAATACTAAAACTGATAAAAATTCAGAATCCCTAATAATATTAAAAGTATAAAAAATTGTGTAGGGATAAGTCCCGCCCCTTAGGGGGCGTGTTCGCCTCGGGCTAATGTTGGCCTATAAATTTGTCAAGCATGCTCCCAGCCATCCCTTTCTGCTTTCCTGGTCTCCGAGGGAACGGTGGTTCTGTAAGTCTATTTCGCCTTTAAAGCTATATATATTTTTACAATCTGTCTGCATTCGTTTACGCCGTTACATTTTGGTGCCCAACGTGGGGCTCGAACCCACGACCCTGAGATTAAGAGTCTCATGCTCTACCGACTGAGCTAGAGTTTACCCCTGGGTTAGGGACATTATTTAGGGGTTGGGAGGTTGGGGGAGGAATTTTATAAGCTCAGGGATCATTTTGAAAAAAAAAAAAAGAGGGAATGATGGGATAATAGATTTATAATTGTGAGTTACTGCTTTTAGACAAATATATTGGTATCGATTCTTGTATATTGATACAAAGTTAAATTATATTGAGTATTGTATGCATGCATGTTTCTATGTCTGTTTAAAACATTTTTATGTATTGACATATATTGTATTGATATATATATTGTACATATTTACCATATTGCAGTGTACATTTCTACCTCTGATTAAGATACATATATAATGTTTGTGTATTGATATATATTTGCCATATTGCATGTATATTTGTACAGTGTTTATATTTGGAGGTCATTATCATCATTTGTTACACAGTTGTTTATTGTCTTAGTCTTTAAGTTAGATAGATATTGAGAATTATATAGATAAATAGTCATCTAAGTTTGTCATTTATAATTAGACTAATCAGGTTCTCTAGATATATAGAGATTATACTCACTATAGATAGATAATCTTCGACCTCTTCAAAGAGCTGTAGAAAATGGCCTTTAACCTAACTCAGTGTTTTGTGGTAGTGAGACACAATTGCTCTTGGCAACACCGCTCTATTCCCGATAGAATGTTGAGCACCAAAGACACTCCACCTGGAGCCTTTCTATTTGGCAGAACTGGCGTTTGGGCAAAGAAATGCCCATACCTCAACCACTGACAGAGATACAGAGCGTGCATCAATGGATAAAACAGGACTGTCATATCCTGCCAAGACAGGGTAAGATAGTTTTGAAAAGTTCCTTGCCTTTAATAATGGTATGCCAGTTATGTTAGGCCTTAGCCAAAATTGGTTGACTCAACGTTGCAAACGAGACTTTGGGTGATTGCCCAGGTAGTCAGTTGTCTCTGTCAATTGTTGCACATTTTGGATATTTCTCGTTTGTTGAGTAGTGTTTATTCCCTTCTCAAATCTTTAACGGAGTTGAAGATTATATAATTGTAGTTACTCTCTACATGATTTGGACTCCTTGAGATAGAATGTTTAGCAAAGCTTTTGTTCTCAATATTGTTTGTTATATTTATTATTTGTTGTTATTGTATATAATTTTATTTGGTTTAGTTCTGTCTTATTTAGACAAAAAGGAGAGATGTAGGGATAAGTCCCGCCCCTTAGGGGGCGTGTTCCCCTCGGGCTAATGTTGGCCTATAAATTTGGCAAGCATGCTCCCAGCCATCCCTTTCTGCTTTCCTGGTCTCAGCGGGAATGGTGGTTCTGTAAGTCTATTTCGCCATTAAAGCTATATATATTTTTACAATCTGTCTGCATTCGTTTACGCCGTTACAAAATTGCATATATCTTTGGAAATACCTATAATATTTTGAGTAATGAATTTTTTCTTCCCCAGCTTCTCCCAGTTTTGTCCTATTTCCCTGCCCACAGCATTTCCCCTATGCACACAAACATAAAAAACAGGTACACCATAATAAGCCAATACAAATACACTGGCCTTGGGTTTTTAAATAAAATTATTTTCTTAGAGCATTTAAACATCCACTTGGTAGCCAACTTCCACTAACTATGAATAACAGGCCATACTTTATAAATATTAAGAGGATATTACTGAGATAGGTGGGCCAGATATAAGTATCCCTCTAATTGTTATAATTAGATTAGCTGAGTACCAAAGATGTTTCCGCCCTCAGTGACAAAAAAGGCAGATGTATTCCACTTTAATTGCTACTATCACACAACCATCAAACATAAGCTAGTAAGCAAACCTCAAGCCTGGAAGATGGCTCAGCCTGCAAAGGTGCCTACTATCAAGTCTGATTACCTGAGTTTGATGCCCAGGATCCAAAAGTTAAAAGGAGAAACCACTTATTCAACCCTCCCTAATACCTTTACAAAATACACCATTGCATGTGGGCATCCTCCCAACTAACTCAAAAAGGTAAAGTACATTGAAAAACGTAGCACAGATGACATCTCTCCAGGGTGCAGTTCAGCACCCCAGAGTTACACCCATTAATATTTCAGAACAGATCATGAATCAACACATCAAATGGGATAAATTTAGCATATAAATCGACTCATAATTCTGAGCTGTGTTGTACTGCCAAGTGAGATCAGATTCGGTTAATTTATTTTCATTACTTTATAATAAACTCACAGGAGACAAATTCAACTATAAATAAGAAAGAAGGCTCTTACCTTGGCATATGAAACCTCGTTCTTCATACCCAGCGTTGCAGGTGCACTTCCCAATGGGGACAAGCCATTCCCCTTCTGTGCTGCAGTACATCTTGGGAGGATCCTCCTCCTTGGAATTATTGACACAAGAGCCCCTAACCTCCACCAAAGACTGGGAGTCCATGGGTACTGTGTCTGGAAACATAGCCAGATTCTTCACCGTAAACGGGCACTTTTTGAAGTACACTCTTACAGACACCAAGGCAACGCAAGCACCAACATCTTGAAAAGCCAAATAAAACCCCTTTTTGTTGACCGGCCCCACTTCCCTAATCTCAGTGTTGAGTTTCAGAATGCGGTCCCCAAGATCCATCTGGGTGAAACTTTCATCCGCCGCAATGGTGTCAATCTTTGTAAACTGATGCTCTCGGAATTTCACACTCTGGTCATCGTCAGACTCCATGTAGTACAGGTTAAAGGTCTCCTTGCAAGTCCCCAAAACCAATGGGATGCTGTTGCAGTCCCGGAGTGTGAACTTGAGCTCCACATAGATTTTCTGAGCTGAATTTCTTGGGACCCAGTTTGTCCTCAGCCAATTATTTTGGCTGTGATCCATGACATTGCACACCTGGTAAGTCCTGATGGGTGTGTAATGCTCATCAACGCCACTGATCTCTTCCCACTGAAGAATCAAAGCAAAGACAGAGAGAGAGGCAAAATTAGTGAGGTAAGTGTAATGATGACACACACCGAACAAAAGTGTCAAGGCAAATTAACTAACAAAAACAAAAAACAGCATAAACAAAAAAAGGCTTCAATGCCACACATTATAGACATCTGTGGACAAACTCCTAACCTTCCAGTGTATGGTTATTGGTGAATTCAATGCCACAAAGCAGTTTCATAATTGAATGAATACATTTGCCTTGCACTGCAAGTTTTTAGATATTCAAGAAAAGTCTACTGGGCAGGTCATTATGCACAGCCAAACACCGGAGCACGAAAAGCTGGAAAGAATGGTGAACAGTGAGTCAGGTCAAAGACTTGCTGTAATTCTGTATTTTGTCTGTCTGTTTTAAAAGAAAATGACAATGAACAGTGCCTGAAACGAATTGTTTTTCTCACAACTTAAACAATATTGAAGTAAATTTTGTATGCAGTAAAATTCAGAGACTTTACATGAGAGCATCACCATGGAGCTTCACACACACCATTTTTAAGGAGTCTCAGTCTTTTTGGGGGAGCCATGTTGGGGAAATGTCAACTTCTCCAAAACAAACAGTTATTATATGTGAGGCAGAAACAGCCATATAGTGAATGTTATGGTTTGTCCTGCCTTAGCTCCCATATTGGACTTTTATGTGGCCAAAAAAGTTAATGTGTTGTTATTATATTAGTTAAATTTATATTATTAACTTCTGTCACTATAAAAGAAGATTTTTTTTAAGTTTTAAGAATATAAAACTGTAAAGAAGTACATTTTGTGATCATAAGAATAATTCTTGGTAAGCTTAACTCAATGCCATATTGCTTGCATCACTCCTGTTACTCTATCATGCCAGCCTCTCCAGCTTCTATTGCTGCGTATGCATTTTCTTTTTTCATGTACAATTTTGCCAGACCTTTCAGGAACACTAGTCCTTTACTAAGATTTTTTTTTTAATTCAAAGTCTTCCAGGGTTCTCCAGTTCCTATGCAAAACCATTTAAACTCTTCAGTTTGAAATTTTGGTTTCTTCAAAAGTAATCCCGATCTACATGCTAATTTTATAGAGTTCAAATAGAGAATAGAAACTTCTTTCCAATGAGAGCTATTTTACTATTTTCAAGAGCCAAGGTAAATTTCCTGGTCTTTATTCCCTTGTTTATGGTGCAATTACATTGGAATATGTTTTTCTTCCTCCTTGACATTAATAACCCTATTGTTCCTAAAAACATTATACTTTAAACATCACATTTATTCTCAAGTTAATTCATCAAGCGTTTGTGGATAAATTTCGAATTTTTTCTAAAATGAAATTACTAAATTTTGAGTTATTCATATTTACAATACTGTATGACTATTGGGGAATTAATTAAATGTAATATATGGCATGAACTCATAAGAAATTATTACTAGAGTGAAGCATATTGTGCAGTGGTAGAATACTGTCAGTAATATGCAAAGTTCCATATTTGGTTTGCAGAATGAAAAAATGTTAGAGAATTTTTAAATTTTGAGGATCAATCATTGCATTGGACATTATAATTGCACTCTTAAATTTCACTCCAAGAAGAAAACTGAAGGAGAAAAAGAGGATAAAAAGAAGTCACAAAGTATCTTATTTTCATATAATATGATAGTATTAATAGGTGACTCACAGTCAGACATTATACAGAGAGTGAGAGACCTTGGAAAACTCCTACCTAAATGGGATATCTCCATCAAGTGTCTCCCCTCAGGTCTCATGGAATCACAGGGATGAGGAGGAAAAATAGTTTAAAATAATGGAAGAGCCAGAGATAATAGAGGATACCAAAAGGAGAAAACCCTCTGAATTAGCTGATGTTCACAGGGACTCACAGACACTGGGGCATCATGTACAAGGCCTGCTCTGGTGTGCACCACATAAATTCTTAGGGTTGAAAGGGGAAGTAGACACATGCCTGCATCGCTAACTCAGAAGCTATCTCCAATTGATATGCACTTTCAAATGAAAATTTAGTTTTCTCCAAGGGAATCTCACTGGGGGAAAAAAACCTCCTTTCAAGGGTCGGTCTCATGGGCCACTCATAGATGGCCAATAAAAAATGAATTAAGTTGCATCTTCAGAGAACCTATGTCTCATAATTCATGTCAAAGCTTATCTTTCTAAAAATGTCTTATTTCTTATTTTTATATTCTTATTTTTAATTTTTATTTTCTACATACACACACACACACACACACACACACACACACACACACACATTTCTTCTTTCTTTTTACCCTACAGGCTCTTTGTATTCATGATATGGTTTCTAGTTTAGTGTGTTATGATTTCCTGAGTGTGTGAGGAAGTGAGGCTCTCTTTCTTCTGCCTTCTCTTGGGCTCCTTTTCTTCTATTTGTTTTGTCCAAGTCCAATGTGTTATTTTTTATTTTATCTTATAATATTTTATGATTGATCATTAGAAGCCTGTTTGCTTTCTAATTAATGACAGAAAGAAGATGGGTCTGGATGGGAGGGGAGGTGGGAAGGAACCGGGCAGAATAGAGAGAGGGAATACTCAAGTCAGGATAAATTTGTGTGAAAAATATTGATTTTCAATAAAAGGGAGGAAAGGAAATACAGCATTTAAAAAAAAATTAAGTCTCACTGGAGAAATCTAAACCATTTTCCTCACATGTGTGGATTATTTAGGTATCTTTTCTGAAGAAACTCATGTAAGAGGTGTCTCAGTTCTAAGGCATTTATGGTAAGGTATAGTAAAGTCAAAGTCAAGACAAAATGTTTAATTTTAGAAGACTAAGGGGCTATGTTTGGTGTTCAAAAATTTCCATTGTTAAATATCAATGTTTTGTGGTAGTGCTAAAGATTAGACTGCGAGGCGAGTTTGGATGTATTCTTGGTCTTTACAGTTAGATCATGGCATTGGAATTAGAAATTAGAAAACTAAAGATCAATTGGCTTCATAATTTTAAATCAAACTTTACTCATAAGAGTAGATGAGTATTTACTTTGATCAATGAATCCTTTGCAAATTTCTTTGTTATAAGCCCTATTCAGCTAACCATTAAGCAGCACATTCTATAGAGATTTTCATAATTTGATGTAAAATATGATTTTAATTAAGGAATTCTCATTGTAGTTTAATTTGGCAAGCTATCACAAGTCCTTGAATACAGAGTTATGAATTGCATGAAGATAATGCAAACAACACCAGCATGCTTTTCACCGAGAAAGTCGCAGGGACCAATTACCACTTCATTAATTTGTAATGAAGACCTAATTGCCTGAAAGTGATGGTGGACTGCCATCTCCAACCGTTTACAGCACCAGATTCTCTAACTCTGGCAATTGCTGAAGACAAGCAACAGCAGAAATATCACCTCTAAAGTAAACTTTTTTTTCTTAACATCACAATGCCAAAACCCTTAGCTAAATTCTTCTTGCAAGTGCATGTTTGTTAATGAAAAGATACACAGGCTTGTCAAATCTCTTTCCTCTCATAACTAATCTACACATTCATAAATTCCTACAAATACTATATCATATAACAACTGTTTTAAGGAAAACATGGAGAAAGGATAAGGTGGTACATAGAATTTGGGAATAATAAGCATATTTCTCTTCCTTGCCTTCTGCAGAACATGGTAAGGAAAAGTTATAACATTTACTTAAATTCGCTAAATCATCAATTCTGATATTTAGCCTGCTTTCCAGATCCATATGTAAAATCTGTATTTTTTGGTCAAAAAGCTCAGATTGACTTCTTTATTTTTCATGGTCCAGATTACTATAACCCAGTAATCACAGGCATCAGGTTGCTTGTCCTAAAACAGGTTTTCATATACCTCAATTATATTAATTAAAGATTTGTTTTATGGTTCAAACTAATTCCTCTCATGGAGAACCTTTTTAATGAGCTGAGACCAGGGAGTAAGGGTAATAAAAGCAGAAATACATGTTATCTAAATAGGGAAATATTCAATTATTTAGTACATACATAAGCAACTATGTTGGAGGACATAAATAAGATGAGAAAATAACTTCATAATTTCTCTAAGAAAATAAAACTGGTTTTTCAAGAATTTGAAGATGACAAAAATAAAAATGATACTAGTAGGATTATTCTGGTTTGAATTACTTGTAGATTTCAATGGTTCACAGGAAGCCATAAATCTACACTTTGTTAATATACTAATGATTGATCAGGCTATCAAGTGGTTTTGTGTTTTTTTTTTCTTTCTCAACTCATGCCTCTCAGATATCCAGTTCTTCCCTTTGTACAGCTATATCCACTATATCCAGCAAAAACCTCAACATTTGTCCCGTATATGTTTGAGTACTCTCTATGAAGCAGCATTTAACATTGCATCCTACCCTACATTAAGGATGTCACTGTTAAGCTCATCACAGAGATATGCTGGAAAACCTCACTGCTATTTCTGCTTCAAAAGTATGCACACATGAATGAGCATACATGCAGCGATACATTTTTAATAGCTTAATATAAAAGTTCAAGTGGTTTAAGAATTAAGATAAATGAATAGAATTATAAAAATAGACTTTTTTGATTATGTGATGAATGGAACAATGCAAAAGAAAATGGGAAATCAGCATTGACGTCAAAGAGTCAAGGAGAGAAATATTACAAAGATCATGGCTGTGAAGGTACAACTGGGAATCTTTTCATAAGTTCTGTGTATACATCTCCAATCCACTTTGACCTCTAGACAATTGATAGTGATATTATAACAATCTCACTGCATATAGGGAACACAGCAGCCTCCTTGAGATAAGACATATTGGAAAGAGAAGAAAAGCCTATTAGAAGGTAGAAAGATTAGGCATTACTGATGAGGAAAGTCAGCAAAAGTTTTCAGAGTGAACACATCGTCAGGAAGGAGTGACAGAAGGTCTCTGTTTAGGAGTCTCAGGATATAGAGCAGATCATGGTGATACCTGAAGTTATAACAGGATGTTGTTAAAGACACCAGG